TGCCACGCCTTTCAGCAAGACGATGGCTAGAATCGATATATCTTCATCTTTTGTGTCGACTTCCATATAAGGTTAGCTCTCTTAGTGATTATTTCGTTGGATTTCATCAACCATAGCTGGAATACCTTGTATTTATAGACAGTTTCTTCTAGAATATTGTTTTATCTTTTAATATGTCATCGACAATCTTTGATGTTTGAAGAGTTTGTGACTTTAAGGCAGCTCAACTTTTTCAGCCCCCAACTTAGCAACCTTCTGCCAATTCAGGAATGTGAATGCCTCTTCAAGTTTTGCAATCTTAGCTACTTCCTAGTCGATGGGAAGCAAATTTTCTATATATACAGTATCATCAAATCAGTATGCAATCTCATGAAAATAACACTTACGAATAAACTAACACGAATAATATACAAATAGTAGGTGAATAACATTTATATTTAAAAAATGTTGTTGAAAATCAGGGAAAGCGAGAAACGCAATTGTGTCTCCTTGACCGTGCTTCCACATGTCTCCTTGACCATGCTTCCAGAGAAGGGAGGTGGAAGGTCGTATATTAAAATTAACGATTCGCACTCAAGCGCTGATTGCACCGCCATTTCAATGAAGTGGTCTCCGAGATCTAAAACGAACGTTAAAGGCCGATTTACACAGCGCCACTTTTGCCTAAAACTGTCGCAGGCAACCTGCTTACAACTTGAGCTTACAATATTTTTAAATTAAAAAGGCATTGAATCATTGGAAGATGAAAGACATAACATAAGATTCACAAAGCAAGGTTCATGTACTAGATTATAAAACATCCTTTCTAAATTTCTAAAGGACATTTCTAAATGTTTTGCTTGTATTTTAGAAAAGAAGGACCTTGACTGGAGGGAGGGCCAAAATTGTTAACGGGGGGGGGGGCATCATAGGGCTTGCCACGGACTGGGGGCGGCTTCGCCCCGTTATATTGTTACAAATGGCCCTGCAAATGGTATAGATTTAGGAATTAAGATCTTACATAGTAAATGTACCGTCATAATCAACAATAAAATGTGGGTTTTATATCTCTATATATTATCATTTATTTGCTCTTCATGTTATGATTTAGTTCTGTGTAAAAATGTTCAGATACAACGTCTGGAAGGAACTATAAGCAGTCCTGAATATCCGAACATGTATCCCAATAACTCGAACTGCACCTGGAGAATTACTGTGCCGCGTGGATATCGTATTGTATTGGAGTTTATTAGGGTAAGTCGGAGCTAGTATTCAAAATTTTGGCTATCTCGCCCGATAGAACAGATTATAATATAACATTTTTAGTAGGCGAGCGTCAAATGGTCGAGAAGTGTGTTTCTATAACTGTATATAAACACAGAACATTTGGCACCTCGCGTCTTCAAAATTTATAAACCAAAACAAAATAGGAGTCGTGAGAAAAAAACCCGATTTCTTAGTTTAATTTAAATAGCGGAAAACTAGATTATTTAAAAAACGGAAAACATTTTCCCTGTGTTTCTGTAGCTGATAGAAAAAATTGTAGTAGTTTGGGAAAACTTATTTGCGGTTTTTAAGCATTCTCTCTAAAACTTTACTTTTGTATAATTGTTAGCCTGAAGACAGACATAAAATATTGAATGGCTTTTCGTAAAATGAGATAATAAAAAATATATCTTTTAAGTTCCCCCAAACTCCCAACTGTGAATCTGTAACAGAATAGATGTACGGATAGATGGAAACTACAAATCCGGGAGTGATACCATACCACCAAATTCAGTGCAAATTATTACAACTCTGTGGACACCAATTTGATGTTAATACTGTATACACCTAATTTGGTATCAATGTACACCCTCCTTTCAGTGTTAAGGGGGCTTCGGTTGCGCAGTCGTCGGAGCAAACACTTTCTTTCAGCTCTGAGGTCGTGGGTCCGATTCTCGCTACGGACTCATGTGCAAGGAGTCTGTCAACACTGCCGAAAGTCGTGGGTTCTCTCCGGGCGCTCCGCGGTTTCCTCCCAAAGGGCAAGTTGACATGGTGGGTTAGAATGAATACAGTTAGGACGTACTATATGAACAACGAGAGCGAAGGTTTCACTGGGGTATCCAAACACTCGAAAACAATGTATGAAAACATTCGAGCTTATATGGCTTCTTAAATGAATCGAGACGTAATTACAAAATGTTTTCGTTTGCTGATTTGAATAGAATTCTTAACCAAGCATAATGTAATTAGGAATTCTATTCAAGTAATTTTGCATGCGTAATTAAGATATTTGATGAAAACACTAGTGACTTGCATCAAATATCTTAATTAAGTATGCAGTTAAACTCTTGTGATGCTGTGTCTGACGGTGTTTGACCGCGGTATCCAACATGCAGTATCTTGTGACGGAATGCTTAGTATGATATTGGTTTAATTACTCATGAATTATTAATGAATTTGAGAAAGTAATATCACAATTGTTGTAAAGATAAATAGTCTAACCTTAGTAAGTAGCATAAGTGGTAACATTTGATGTAATCGGTCACTCAAAAGTCCCAATGGGAAGTGAGGTGATTAATAATGTAATGTAATGTAATGTAGTGTTAAATAGATGCAGCTGCGTGGACACCAACTTGGTGTAAATCTACACTATGGGAGTAAACTAACAGTCCCGAAGTTATGAATTTGATCTCAGAAACATTTGCTGCGGAAACATCTTCAACGGCTTCTCCGATCTAAACGATGCTTGGAACTCATTTAGTGCCATTTAACAGCGATTATTGACAAGCATGCACCCATGACGGAGAAAATGGTAAGAGGTCGCGACTGGCCAGGGTTAACTGCCGAAATCAAATCTAAAATAAAGGAGCGAGACTTCCTCGTAAGGAAAGCAAGAAAAAGTGAATTGGCTATATCGTCACCCAAGGCATTAGACGGAGTTAATTAAATTACAATAGGTCCCTGTTCAGCGAAAACATAAATTCACCCACACAATTCTGGAACCAAATCAAAATGTGCTACCCCGCAAAAGAAAAGAAACTGGTGACTAACGAGGTTTTTGACATTGACGAAACGTCAAAGTACGAAGTGTGATAAAACATCCATTGCCAATGATTTCTGTAAGTATTTTACCAATGTAAGTAAAACATTACCGACGTCACTTATAACTCTGGGCAACACAGTGTAGGAAAATCATGATCACAAAAATCTATCAAAGAGATTTAACCTGAAAGAGTCACAGTTTTCGTTCGAAAAAGTGTCTGTTTTGTTTCAAACATCGTTAATCGATGATCGTTAAAACATCGTTAATCGATTATAAACATCGTTAATCGTTAAAACATCGTTAATCGATGATAAGGACGGTGTTGAAGGATTAGCAGTTCCATTAACCTATCTCATTAACTCATGCTTAGGACTAAAACATCGTTAATCGATGATAAGGACGGTGTTGAAGGATTAGCAGTTCCATTAACCTATCTCATTAACTCATGCTTAGGACAGTCAGTTTTTCCTGACACAGAAAAATGTGCAAAGAGTATCCTTGTTTGCAAATCTGGCAAACTGTCCTCTATGGACAATTACATACCCATGCCGATACTGCCTGTTCTATCGAAAGTTTTTTGAAAGAATGGTTCAGAAACAGTTATATGAATGAATACCAAGAGAATAATTCTTTGCTATATAGCTCCAAATCAGTTTGCTTCCAGGAAACAAAGATCAACTCAACATCCTGCATGTAACATTGCTTTCTGACCACATTGGATGACAGATGGATGAACGAGAATTAACTGCATGGAGAAGTATATATAGATTTAAGAAAAGCATTTGATACGATAGATCACGGTCGTCTACTCTTAAAACTTCCATGTCATGGAATCAGAGGAAAAGAACTCACCTGGCTTGAAAATTATTTGTTCGGAAGAGAACTATATTTGTTGTGTTTGACTCGGCAACTACCGATGGGCAAACTGTCCTTACTGGTGTGCCAAAAGAATTAGTGCTCAGTCCCATTCTCTTCGTACTATTTATAAACTTACAGTCCGAGCATGGCGAAATGACATATCAAACAACGGCAAATGAATCTCAACTTACTCCTCTCTGCTATGAAAGAGAGATTTATGATCTGGTATAGCTTCTTCAAGGCTTTATTTGGCAAAATAGATTTGGACGTCAACACCTTTGTCTCCTCTTCCAACAACAGTCGAACGCGACTCTGTCAAAATCCCTCCCTCACCCTTAAAGTCCCTCTTTGTAAATCCAACACATTCAAAGCATCCTATTTCAACCGACTAGGTAAAATATGGAACTACACCTGTAAAGTTCAACCTCCTACCACCTTTGCCACCCTCTCCTCGTTTAAAAGAAACATTAGAAGCGCATATAAAGACTTGCTTGGGACAATGTTCGACATTGAAATGCCATATCCATGGTCATTAGTACGTGACTATCCATGTCATAGAACTTAGTAAACAATTGTGTTTGATGTTTGTGCTGTTTTATTTTGTATTGTATTGTATTGTGTTCTATTTTATTATTTTGTATAGTTTTAGAATGGCAAGCACCTTGCATGGGACTTTATATGCCTTGTTCGTCCTTGATATTGTCCATTTGGGTATTCTACTTATTTCTATATTGACCTGTAAAATTCTCAATAAAATTGTTTAAAATTTTTTTTTTTTAAATGTCTCCATTTGCGAATGCAAAACTGTCAAATTCTTTTATATGCCAATGACACAGTAGTTCACACATCGGACAAGTCATGTGAAGCTATTGAATCAAATTTAAACTTTACAAATCTTGCGAGATTGTTCTGTATAATAACAAGCTTGTTCTTAATCTTATGAAAGGTAAAACCGAATTTGTCCTTTTTGTGCATTTCCGTGGAAATTCCTCTCGAAATTTCCATCACAATTTCCTTCGCCGATATAGTTACACCAGTGAGATGCCAGAATCCCTGACATTTACCCATACACTGTACCCTGGCATCACCTTAGTATTTATACACGAACTTGTGGTTAGAGCTCGACAACTTTCTTTCTGTAGCTCAGTTGGTTAGAGCGCTGCACCGAAATCGCAAGGGCGCAGCTAGGTTCGATTCCTGGCAGAGAGTTGATAGTTGTATGTTTCTCAACTGCTCCTGGTTACATCTAATAAATGTATAAAAATCCACCCGAAATTTCCTTCCATTTTTGGTTATTTTCCAGTTTGAAGTCGAAACTCACCCAGACGTACAGTGTCCCTATGATCATGTTAGCATTTCTGCTGGTAGCAATTCTGGTCGTCTCTGTGGTAGAACACCTCCAAAGAATATTACATCGACATCCAATTCAATGACTATTAGATTTGTAACTGATGCAACGTATAATATGCAAGGATTTCTTGCTCGTTTTGGCACCGAAGGTAAGGACCTGATATTTAACTTAATTAATTGTTTATGTTCATTTATAGATCTACTGGGCAACACTAAGAGGTGTGACTTGAGGAAAGTTCTCTTGTCAATATTATGTACCCTCTTTTCTAAAATCGTCGCATACTTCATTGTCGCAAAGGGCAGAACACAAACTAAGTGATAGTTGATCAATAAATCAACATTAACAATTTTCGCCTATATATATATAAAATAGCTAGAAAATGTTCTCGAGTGTGTATTTCATAATTTCTATACCCAGCGCAAGCACAAGGACAAAGTCTGCCGCGGCAGGGTCTTGAACCGCCCATAGGCGTACGGGAATGAAAGAATTTGGGGGGGGGGCAGAAAGAAATTTGCCCGACTTTTTCGGATTGTGCCCGACAAGTGCCGAAATTTTTTTTTCCCAAACAATTTATTCTGTCGACCTCCCCCCTCCCCCCCGTTGCCAAAAAAATTTTGGTCAGTGTACCATTTTAGGGGTCAAAAATTTTTTCGGACATACCTAAATTTTTTGGAACATCAAAGAAATTTTCCCAAAAATCGAAAAATTGACATAATTTCCCACAAAATTGACAGAATTGTCCCATTTATTTTTATAATAACCAAATATTGCCCAATTAAGAAGCGAATATTGCCCAACTGGCTTTGTTTGCCCAACAAACTGGTGTTATTATTAAGCGAGATTTTCTTGTTTTGACTACTTTTTGCCCGACTTTTGCCCGACTTTTGTTGAACATTTGCCCAACTTTTCGACTTTGTAATCTGTTTGGGGGGGGGGGGGGGGGGCGCCCCGTCCCGTACGCCTATGGAACCGCCTGTCCTTCGAATTACTAGATCGACGCTCTACCAACTGAGCTACACGGTCAGACGGATTTAAGACTGGAATCTACCAACTGAGCTACACGGTCAGACGGATTTAAGACTGGAAATTATGAACTATATACTGAATGTTATGAACTATATACTGTTAATTATGAACTATATACTGTTCAGTATATAGTTCATAATTAACAGTCTTAAATCCGTCTGACCGTGTAGCTCAGTTGGTAGAGGTTAATTATGAACTATATACATTCAGTATATAGTTCATAATTAACAGTCTTAAATCCGTCTGACCGTGTAGCTCAGTTGGTAGAGCGTTGATCTAGTAATTCGAAGGTCGCGGGTTCAAGACCTAGCCGCGGCAGACTTTGTCTTTCTGCTTGCGCTGGGTATGGAAATTATGAAATACACACTCGAGAACATTTTCTACCTATTATATTACGGA